TTGGATGTTTGTTTTTTTCATTGTTTATTTGTTATCTTTCAACGTAAGTCTATGTGTTTCTTACACCCCATTCACACAATTTATATCTAAGAGGTGGGTTTCTAACCTCCCAGTCCAGGACAACCCAGGCTAAGACTAAGAAGGAAAGAATATGTCCCAGGGAAAAGACCGAGATTCTGGGTAAAACTTGTCCCCTCATGGGAAACGAACCCAGGTTTTCTGTGTGTGACTGCGAAGTGAAAAATGGTGAAGTGGTAGATCTATATGTTTAACGCCCCTATTGAACTACCCTTCTCCCTCCGAGACCTAACATAGACAACACACTCTATGGAACATTACAGCAACTGCAGCAGACCTGCACTTATCACTACATGGCATTAGACAGAAGGGCGAGAGTTGCTGGATCGATAACAACAACAATAACAACGCCCCTATCAACACTATTGAGTTATTTAAGGGGCGGGACCTCCGGGTTTAACGTCCATCGGCGAAAGGACAGAGCCAAATGGCAATTTCGTGTAAAGTGCCAGCAAACCTGGTTACATTCTGAGACTATCTAAACTTTCTGGGAAGCATACAGTGTAAGCAGCCATTTTACAGGGCGCAAAAATACTAATATACAGCGTCGGACGGAGCTGAGGCTCCCTCGGCGAAGTGCCTAACAGCAGCAATACAGACGCCGGTTCCATGAAAACATGAAGATTCCAACTGAAGCAATCGTCATCAAATGTGAGGCATCGTGGTGGAATCAGGCTCTCGTCAATTTTTGGGCATGTGGAGTTATTGGTATCATCTTAAAGCTTGTTTACTTGTCTTTATTTATTTGAAAAAAAGATCTATTTATCTTGAATACAAGTCGAGATATTTGTGAATATAGGAGGTGGGAGTCACCGGTTTTCTGAGGTAATATTAGTGAAAAAATGGCCGCCAAAGATTATTTATTTCTTTAGCTTAAGAGTCCATGATAACTAAAAATTTACTTTTTGTGCCTTTATTCAACGTTTTTCAGAAAAATCCACATAGAAATGAGTTCTTTAATGGGCATGAAAGATGTTTAGCCAAAATACTAAAATTTGATAAAAATTCACAAACTGGTGAAAAGTGCAAGTTTCTTCACTTTGATAATTTTGACGAGAGCCTGATTCCACCACGCTGCCTCACAAATTAAAAAACTTCCTCTGAACTAGATCTATGGCTGTTTCTAAACAATTGGTTCACTTCAGAAGAGAGTGTTCTATTCCTAACAAACGGAGAGACATGAGATTCGTAGAAGTGAGATTGCGGGTTCGGGGGGGGGGTCAAGTCTCGAGACCGACATTATGTCCTTGGGAAAGGCACGTTGGACTTCAGACGAATTTTCCTCACTTCAGCCAAGCCGGAATGGGTCACCGACACCCGGCCAAGGACAGTGTAAGATCTTGTCAGTTTATTAGTATTAGTGTTTTTGCGCCCTGTAAAATTGCTGCTCTCACTGTATGCTTCCCAGAAAGTTGAGATGGTCTCAGAATGTAACCAGGTTTGCTGGGGTAATGATATAGAGTTTAAAGCTAGTTATAGTAATAGAACTCATTGTTAAGCGGGAGTTTTCTCTATTCATGTATAATAATTATGAAATTCACTGAGAAATTAGAAACAAATCAGGAGCGTAACGGATGAAGTACGCCGACATTTACACCGTGAGAGCAAAATGAACTCTCTGGCGGAGGAATATTTCTCTTTCTTGACACTCTCGCCACAGTGGTGCCGGGGAAATAGTGCGCGTTGTCCTACAAAAGAAGCTGTCAACTTCGTTTATTTTCTTGGGAGTTGGTGGGTTCGTTACAGGTAGTAGGAACTAAACAGGAGAGAGGCGATGAG